TGAATGTTTGCCCAGGTCTCAGGAAGGTTCAATTCGTTTAAGAGGATTTGTGAGCCTTGTGTTTCAACCTGTTTTGCTTCTAGGTTGTTGTCATACGATCCCGCATGTTTTGCATTTTCCCACCCTGGTGCTTGGTCCAGACTTTGGACTCCCTGGAACAGTCCAAAGTTCATCAGACAGCCTCACCCAGGCCCACCGCTGTGGGCTTTGCCTCCAAGCTTTCAGCGGGCGAGCACAACAACTGCTGACAGAACGCATGACTCAACACTTGGCAAAGCGGAAGGCGTGCCAGTCAAGAAGCTGACGCGATGTCACAAGAGATCACAGGTTGGACGCTACATCTGCAAATTGCAATAGTCGATCAGTTTTACTGAGGATTTTTTCCCCTTCTTTGCCGGATCTTTTGCGTCTGCATCATGTGTTACTAGATTGTAACGCACTTGAAGACTTAAGAGGTACACGGTGTAAAAAGGAATTCAGCTACAGCTACAATAGAAATTTCTGGACGTGAAGTAGCAAAATGATTTGCGCACATATATCTGCCAATGCACCCGTCACAGGAGGAGTCTCAAGACGTCCAAGATCTTGAGCTGCTGAAGCAACAGGCTGAGAAGATATTGTACGATTTTGAGAAGGACATATTGGAATACCTTGGAATCCGATGCGAGTCCACTTGGGCAGCTGCCGCAATGCAGTGATGCAACAACTATGCAGCTATGCTTTGTCACTTTGTTTCAGATAGGTCACCACGGCAACGGGTCTATGGCAACAGGGCATATTGCATGAAGCCGCCGCATTGTTCCAGGAGACCATTGAAGGCGCTGGCACATTCAAACGATCTCAATCACCTGATGAGAATCACGACTAGATGGACTGCAGATTGCAGCTGAGTGCAGCTGAGTGCAGCTGAGTGCAGCTGAGTGCAGCTGAGTGCAGACTGATTTTTTGCAGGCCTCAGACAGCACTGTGATGCCAAGGTGGGAGGCTTTTGCTGTGTGACAATTAGTTCAATGATTTTGAGTGACACAACAGTGACACACTGCTAGGGCCTGCGACACATCTGATTTGTTTGCTTCCAATTGGAAGCCTGCTTTGTCTACAATGGCTAATACACGGATACACACACACACACAAAATCATTGTTCCAAAGGCAACTTGACCAACGTTCATTCACTGATTGGAGCCATTCAACTCGTACCCAATTGGCAGTTGTACCTTGCCAGGGGCAGCTTTATTCTGCACAGTGCGGGTGCTTAGCTGCGACACTTTAACGTCTTCAACGTGAAGGGGAAATGAAGGAGGAGTTGGCCGCCTTGTCATTTCTTTGTGAAATCTCTGTCACGTTTAGTTGTATTTTTCTAGCTTGAACTTCTGCCAGTTCTGTGTGCTTGCTATGTTTGCTATATTTCAACACTTTGGATGAGGCACAACCTGAGCTTGGTGCTCGTGGCTTTGGGGCAGCCCAAAGAGGCACGCGAACAGCTGCGGACAGCCCGCCAGCTCAGAATGTAATTACCTTTGTGTACACGAAGGATCTGCCGGTGAGAAGCTTTCAAAAGCATTCACCCGACGTACTGGCCATAGAAAGCATTATATTATATTATGTATATATATATACACGCATATTGTGTACACATACACATTCAGCACACACATGCACATTTACATGTAATATGTATATATATATATTATACCACAAAGTAATGTGTATATACATGCAGATACATGTACCTCCCTGAGAAAGTCAATGGTATGAGGTATACGCGGGAAAGGGGTGCCATACAACACACATAGATTTATGCATGTAAGCTTCGTGTCTTAGTTGGAGGCAGTTGGAGGCACGCAGAGTAAACTGACAATCCGAAAGCAAGAAGCCAAGAACCAAGATTGCACAGAACTCTTGGGGCTAATCTTGGGGCTAATTTTGGCGCTAATTTTGGGGCTAACCTTGGTTTGAGTATGTTGGTTTGAAGGGGAGCCGTATGGACATGAAAAGTATCAGCCACCAAGACACACGCCTTTGCATAAATTCTGTGCATTTAGCTTCACGATCATCAGGACGTGCAACATTTGTTTCATTCTTCAACGCAAGCTATGCCTGGTGACTGATGTGGAGGCAGCATATACATATGATGTATATATATATACATACATACATACCTACCTACCTACCTACATACCTACATACCTACATACATAAATAGATGCATACATACATACATACATACATACCTACATACATAAATAGATGCATACATACATACATACATACCTACATACCTACATACCTACATACCTACATACCTACATACCTACATACCTACATACCTACATACATAAATAGATGCATACATACATACATAAATAGATGCATACATACATACATACATACCTACATACCTACATACCTACATACCTACATACATACCTACATACATAAATAGATGCATACATACATACATACATACCTACATACCTACATACCTACATACCTACATAC